TATGCGAGATAAAACTGATGGCCGAAACCATTGACAACGATAAACGGTCGAGAACTTAAAACAAAATAGCTAAAAACGGCGTCATTCCTTTGCAACCTCCCTTCCTTGGTTAAGTGTAGACATGCAGCAAATATGTCATTCCTCACCTGTCTCCTGTATGGGAAAATTAATTCCCCTAATCTCCTATCTCATATAAACTTCAAAATCCTTACACGTTCCACTCGCTCACTTTCCAGTACCTTATTACCCATTCTTCATCAAACTTTTTCCTGAGTTCCTCTCTAAACCGTCAAATGAGTACTGTACATACACATATTATCGACTAGGCTTCATCAAAATAGCTACTTTTTAATATCATGTGTAGCCTATATATATATAGCTAATGAAATGGAATAGTCAAGACATTCTCAACGTATATGGACTTTATCGGATCGAAGCCCAAGTACGGTTTTTGGCATCGGCACAAGCGCTACAACGTCGACTCTCTCTGGTACACGCCGGGTGCTACTTTCCCTTAAAATCACGTTGTTCGTATACATTGTCTTTTCCGCATAAAGTGCCCATGGAAAAAAATATCGTTCAACGTGGTGAAACTCATCCATTGAGACCGCTATAATATAGTGAGCCTCGTATATACACCAGTACAGTGTATTGTGGCTCGGTGACACGCAGCGACGCCTACCCCGTGAGCACACATCCCCATGTATAATACATATATATGTATGTATATATTATCATTGAAACGCCAACATCTTCCCTTTTAAATGGACCCAAGGGGCTCGTCCAACAACGATAGCCGTTCTCGCAGGTAGATTATTATTGTTCTATCGATTTTTATTCGGATTTACACTTGTACGGATGCCTCCCGCGGCCAACCCTCTGTCTAATCTTACAAAGGGTCTTCCTCTCTCTCTTTCTTCACAAGCATTGTATGTATACAAGGTCTCTACGTACAAGGGACGATGCCGCCACGCCGGCGGTACGGGTCCGCTTCGCGGGTTTGCGATTGATAATTCTATAATATAATAACAGCAATATCGACAACAATATAAAGATGGAGCGTGATTATGATTTTTGTAAGCCGCCGCCGCCACGAATATCATTCAGTAATATAATACGTAACACCATCGCGTTATTATAATGTTATGTTGAAAGTAAAGAAGAAAAAAAAACAATGTCGACCGTTTCTCATTCAATAAAATATTTTTCTACCGCACATCCCAACACTAAGACTGCAAGGATATAACGGTTTTTAAGGAATCCCGGACAAAAGGTCTAGTTTTAAAAAAAGTCTGATTAAAAGTCCGGACGGCATATCGAAAGCAGGGCAAAGAGTCAGAATATAAAAATACATATATTATACAAATATTAATAAATAAATTATAATTAACCGATTTATAATTTACGTTTGTCCAATTAGTAATATCTTTTGTGACTTGTGGTTCTCGTAAATCGATTAAATAATACAATTTTGTATAAATATAAGTTTTTTAATTAAAAAATTTAAGATTTTAGTTTAAGGTCGCCAATTGATACTATTAAAACGCTAGGCATTTGTTTTGAATTTGTGAGCTTTTCCATTGCACGAAAGAAATGAGTTAATGTTGTTTAGTGTAGAAACAATTATTGTGCACAATTTGTTAAAATAACATCTTTTTTTTCAATAGAAAAATCGAGTAGGTTACTATATACTATACGCGGTGTACTAAAAATAATATACATTTATTACATATGTATAGGCAGTACCTTCAGTATTCATTTAAAAATAAAAAAAAGATAATCTGTTCAATAATAACTATAATTTATTACTAGAGATAATAATATATCCGATTTTTACACAATACACAATTTTTTGCAAGATAAAATTACATCTGGACCTTTTTATCCAAGACTTTTTTCACCGTTTACCGTTTGTAAGTAAGTGCAAAGCGGTTGAAAAAATGAACCGTTTGACGGAATCTTTACACGTGAGCTGAATGCTGACAACATCGTGTCACAACATAAAAACTCCTAAAGATCCTTAACATTAGAAAGTCTTTATAACGATAGCCTAAGGAACATTTGCAAAACACCGTAATCTGATTTAAACAAGAACTGGAGTATTTTATTCCCAATGGGAATTTCTTAATAGGAAAAATGTATTTTTATAAATATTAATGAGTAAAAGACCATTTTATGATTGATTAAAATTTAGGATCTAACACGTTTACTGTTAAAATATACAATTAGAATTCGCTATTAAGTAATTTTGAGCAGTTCCCGTTAGGTGAGTTCTTTCAGGTTAGGTGAGATGACATTCGGGGATATTTAGTAGTAAAATGTGGAGTCTTTGGTCGTTCTGATTAATTTCTCCAAAGACACAAGTGATTCAAATAATCTATGGCTTGTTAGGGGAGAGGTCGAAGAATTTTTGCGGTCAGGGTGTCTGACCTCTTCTTATTCAACAACGCTAGAAAAAATAATTGGTCTCTTAAAAATATTACACAAAAAAAATGTGCTTAGCATTGGGATTTTGGAATTTGGACAAAAATATTTCGTTTAATGTATCTATTTGATTAAAATTGTGATGCACTCATCAAGTATGAGTCGAGCTCCGCTAATTTGTTATTCGCAATAAGAATCTTATATTTTACCAATTTTCAATTTAGCGAAAATATCAACGACGACAATAGTTATTTGAGGCTTACATCTGGAAACGTATTTATTTATTTGCATGGTATCAATTTAGTATTGGAATTTCGATAATAATTAAAATATAATTTTCTAGATCTTAATTCTCTTTTTGAATAAATATTTAATTATTTAGAGATTGGCATCGATTTGAAAGTGATTTTATTTCTTTTAATTGATAATCATACCTAAGAATACCTACATTGTGCCATTAAAAAAAAAAAAAATTCTCCTGTTTTTAATACTGTGACATATTATTTACAGTGCGTGTCCTAGACCCTAGTTCAAGTAGAACGTAATAATAGTAGATTATATTATAATATTTTACTTCTTGTTCTAAAAATATTTTTGTCTTACAGTATTATGTTAATAGAAAATTTGACATAGTCAAAATATATGCTCTTTGGATGGAATCGCATCCGTCTCGTTTTACACGTGTACCTCGAACAAAAATGGATAATATATTATTTTATGCGCCGTCACTTGATATGTTTATTTAGCCTAGGTATGCGTTTTCGCATTATTTTCAAAAATATTATAGGGTATAGCTGTCCCCCCTGTCGCGCGCACGGTATTAATATTTTTTATTACAAACTCAGGTTTTATGATATTAATCTCGATTCGGTGTTATTAATAATTGTTTTCAGTGTATCCGACGTTTCCGATATAATTAGCTTGGACACGTTGCACATATACTTACTTGTTATTCCCCATCGCCTAGTCTTGGTCTGGTCACGCCAACAGTTTATTGCTATACTTTACATAATGTGAATAGGATTACCTAGTCGAGACCTGTACGGGTAAACCTTAGAGCGTTTAAATAAATCATGATTTATAGTAATAGGCGAAACGTAAAAAAAAACAGGTCTACCCTATTAATCCTCGTGTCGTCTTGTAGCTTTACATTTATAATGGCATATTAAATAATTTAGTATTTTTTTTTTCTATGGCAATATAACATTAATTAGACGTGTCTATGTTGGATTGAACATCGATGAGTAGTACAAAATGATACATATTAAGTAATAATGGCTTTCTCTAACCTTCTAATTAACGATGTAGATTACATTAATATCGACTATAAAATTCACACATACAACTTTGTGTCGTTCGGTAAAAACGAGATAAGTCATAGATACGATTTTTAAATGAACTCATTAGCTACAACACGAATACCAAGTAGACAATTTTATTATTGTGAATTTTCGTACCTGATAACGATATATTTGTAATGAATAAATAGGGAGCATTAGGAAATGACCTTAATAGGTAACAAAAAATTACATTACATACAAATGACCTAATATGCTTGCAGCAATGTTCAATAATACTTGCCAAAATGTCCTAACCATTAGTAATTATGATATAATATGTATGTAAAAAAATGTCACATGACGAAAATACAACTTGATGAATTCATACAAATAATTACTCGATACATTTTAATTTCATGTGCTAAAAAGAAATGTACATGCACCTATTTAAATTTACAGAGGATATTTCGGTATAACACTTACAGAACAAATACATCAAATATGTTTACATTTTTGAGTGCAACGTAATGATATCAAGCTAAATTAACATTAACTTATTGAAAACAGAAATTTGGCATTATAATTTTTGGTTTTTTAAAACAATTTTTATTCGTTTTAATAAACCAATTCCTGCTAAAACTTAAAAAAATACATCAACTCCTGAGCTATCCTATTAAATTATATGTTTAGATAAAAAGAAAAAATACAAAATATTGTAAACGAATACTGTCCTATTTTTTTTATTTTGCTCAAACTGTAAGAAAAAATACTTACAGTACTCAATTATTATTTACATCTGAGGGCAACAAAAAAAAACTTCCTTCAAATTTAATCCACTTAATACTCACCATTAATTTTCTAAAACGATGATAAATTTCCCAAAAAGCTAAAAATAATAATGTTATAGTTTTTATCTGGAAAATAATTCTACTGGTTTTGAGTACTGTGATCTGTCTGAGGAAATATAGCTTTTCGCGCTATTTTTTTCGAGTGTTATCAGCCTTTTTGAAGTTATAACTTCAACGAAAATGATGTTTATAATCAGCGTTTACAGCCTATGAATTTTCTGAGTTGACTGATGAAGGTTCGTCGACTGCTACCTGTATTCACCACTATAGCAGTCGTTCATCATCATCTCAGGAGTTTTGTAGGCCTACATGCAATACCCGTCGAACTGTTTGGTTGCCTATTCGAGGTGATTTGGTCGACAAACTACAGACCACCAGGGTTTGCAGTTAACGGGAGTGGACAATATTATAATAATTTTAATTAAATGACTTCAATAATTTGCATTTGATAGTTAAATACATGTTCTTTAAGTAGGTGTTTGCTTACATTGTTCTTTAGTTATTAGCCCACTACTGCTAGGATTGAAATACTTAAAACATAATATTTACAACCATTGACGGCTTACATTAAAACAACAATTTTTTTTATTCATTAACATTATGTATAGTTATCTACTATCAGCACCAAATCAAAAACATAATATTGAATACACTGGCTATAGATAAGTGAAATAAAAAGCAATAATTACAAACTCAACCGAATACATATATACAAAAATAAGCGGTCGTGTAAAATATATTAAAAAACAATAGGTATGTCTAAAATTCGAATAAAACTCAAAATAAATATTTTAACAAAATCTTTATGACTAATCACACGCGACATATTTTACCCATGTTATATTAAGGTCTTCTGAATTTCATGATACAAATGTCATGTCGCTTTACTGTATGAAAACTGTCTCATGAAATACTTAAGACTCTTTACATACATTTTGTATACTTGTAAAATATTTAATGTTATTTTCCTAACATAATTACATTTGTTTTTCCGACGAGGCACTTGAATTGGACACAACAGGTTTAACAATTAATAAATTTATCATACTAATTAACTATATTATAATATATTTATACATAAATCATCTTCTAAAATTCTTATTATTAATTAAATTTGTATTTAGTTTAAATGTAGTATTTATTTGGAAGGAAATATTATTTTGTTTAGACATAATCACCGTCTTCCCCGTGGAATGATATGGGACGGCCTTGTTGTTCGCGGACGAGCAACTGATGAGCGGCAGAATCCATTTCCTCTTTGGTCATGTTCAACGCTTCACGAAGTTCTTTGGAAGTGTTCTGCACAAACTCGACGTCGCAATATTTCCCAAGACCATGTTCCACTAATATCTACAAAAACAAAATAAAACATAACAGTCCATAGTGTTTTTTTAATGTACAGTAATGGTAAAGAATGTACCCCAAAAAGTCCAAACGTAAAATCTAGGAATTTGGAACGAGAAGGCTATCCTAATTGTTATAAAAAAAAAAAAATTATTTTCATACATAGTTAATTTAAAAAAAACTGTAATATCTCCTTAAAAAATAGCGTTTTTTAATGTCTCGAAACTTGATGAATATTTTCCATAAATTTGATGCTTGTCTTAACACAAATTTCTGGAATTTAACACAAAATTGTCAGATATAATTTTTATTTAATTCTGTTCGAAACTTTGGGTTATAATTTAATTTTGTCAAATTAATTTCAGTGTATTTCACTACTTTTTTGAGAACCGGTTTCTAATTTCGACTGATTTAGTACGCTTACCCTTCCGACGAGGCTTTCCGCAGATCCGATCACTTCAGTTCCATTCAGTCTGTCGTTGTCTACGGGACTCCCTGGCAGCGAATGAGATAACCTAGTCAGAGGGATCGAAGCCCCGTTCATTTCGTCTCTACTACCTATACAATGAAAAAAGAAAAAAGATATTCCGAGGTTTCCTGACATGTACGGAATTTAACGGGACACTAGCAAACTCAAAAGGGCTTCAAAAATGCCCCCTAAAAAAAAATTTACATTTGGCTATAAAAATTTGTCAGTAACAAAACTGGAAAATCTTGTTTTCAAGTGAACAAACTCCTGAAGATCCCCCACCTCAATTGTACCCATAATAATAATGTAATTATAGTCTGTGTCGATTTGCCAATCGAACCTTTTGGGTTTGCAGTGTTTACATCAAAGAGATGTCCATCTGTGTTAATTAAAAATCATGTTATTGTTGTTAATGTAAAATATAAAACTATTAGCTATAGTATACGTTAAGCTGCATAGCACACACTATATAAGCTCGAATGTATACAATAAAAGCTGGGCTGGGCTGGGCGTCAACGCGTTAAACTGTTATGATCACAGTACTAAATTTTTGACTGGTCGACAGTGACGGGTTCTAGCCAAAGAAAGGGAGTGATTTAATTGGAAAAGTTTGTTTAAACAATAGGCAAATAGGAACTGAAGAAAATAAGGGACAAAAAAACGTCGCCAATCAATATGGAAATTCAATATTAACTGCAGCCCAGCCCAGCCAAAAAATTTCATTGTGTTGTACCTTTGAAATGAAACGAAGCGCGATGGAAAATGTGAACGGACCGACGGTTATTGCGGTGTTGGATTAGCATTTTAGCGGCATTGCCCTTTGGCGGTTAACTCGCCGGTGTAAGGCGGGTCGTCGTCAATATCAGAGCTTCCGTTTAACAGCCATTCATTATGAGGACGTCCACTATAATGATAGATGCGGCAAAAGAAAACAAAAAAAAAACCCCAAAAACAAAAAGCACAACAAAAAAAATCAGAAAATTAGCGTCACGTGCATATCATATAAGTCCTATGTTATGATTTCATATGAACTCAGAGGTGAACCGGGGGTTGGGGGGACGGGTGATTACCAGTTGGGATATGTTAACCGGTACCAAGGTAACGGGATGGAGTCTAATAAGTAACAATATTGTAAGTTGCATATCAGATACTTTATAGGTAGGTATCTGCACAGTGGTCTAAAATCGTCATATTTAGCCGTCCAAAACTACCGTTTTAAAATAATAGCTAAAAAGGTATGTTTTTTTTTATCGACAGCGTAAACTGTATCATTATTGTGGGTTAATATTAAAATGTGTACTTGATTAGTTAATTAAATATTTTTTTGTACCAGGCTGAGTCTAGCAAATACAACATTTTATAGAAAAAACTTTTGTGTTTGTACTAACCGTCTATAACTTTTCTCGTTCAATGTATTTAACTAAATGGTTTTTTTACTACATAAAATATTTTAAAACGGTAGTTGTGACCGGCTGAAAATGAGTTTCGGGTCATTCAGCGACTTGAAGCGATCCGTTGACCCATCGTGGTGTCCGGTTCGCCTCTGAATTAGTAAAATATTAATAATAATAACAATAATATCATATTTATAGGCGTAAGTATATAAAACTATGTTAAGGTGCGGCTTAAACGACCACTAGAATTGTGTCGAGACCAGAAGTGGGCATACATCCGTATTGCAAATTCCCAAATAAATATTTACTATGCTGTAAAAATCAAATAGAAAATTCATATAAAGTACTTGTCGCGAATGTTTTGGAATATTGTACCTATGCCCACTTCTAGTTTTTTTTTTTAAATAATATTATGCAAAGCTAATACATTAATCAATACATTTTGACAGGTTAAGTGACATTTGGTCGCGTACAATCGTCACTAGTATTTGAACGTTTGTCGGAGGGATAGAAAATCAAAAACCTTTATTTTATGCTAAAATAGATAAGATTAGAATAGACCGGAGTAGCATAATGTAAAATAACACAACAATAAAAAATATTAGGCTATAGTGAAGATAGTTTAGCGTAGACAAATTAATATAACCGTGAAAGTGTCATCATCGACCGGTTGCCAATAAATAGGAATTGAAATGAAATATATTATAAGATTTTAAGCGATTAAAAAAAAAAGAGCTGTTAGCTAGCTCGAAAAAAAACCGAGAATAGGTTTTGGGATTAAACAAGAAATGTATTGGACAAAAAAACACAATGCCCTCACAGCAATTTTAAAAATATAATTCAGGTTTAGAGGAAATGTTATATCAAATAATAAAAAATTATTTGATATTTTTAAAATAATTATTAAATATTATGTAATAACTAAATTAAATGTTAGTTTAAAATATCATAAATAAATTGCTTTCCTGTAAAAATAATTGTTTGTTTTAATTGGGAAAATTTTATTATAGATTAAAATATAAGCGAAAAAAATACTTATTGGAAACCAGTTTTTTTTTTAGAAAATGCCTGAAATGTTAATGATTTTAATGTCGTTTCAATAAATTTGATATAAGTACTACCATTGAGTATATTCAAATGTATTTTTATATTTAGTATCATATGTTACTACTTAGGAAATATTATTGAAATATTTAGTATTGCTGTGTGGGATTAAATTTGTTAAGTATTATAAACTTAGCAATATCCATTAGTGTTTCAGTGCAAGTACGTGGGCTTCCTAAAAATATCCTTACCATTATTATTACGCATTTGAACGGGTAAACGTCTGAAATATACATACATATATAATCTTGCGTCATTTGTACATCATATTCAATATTTGTTTTGGCTAAAAGACAAAAGTGCCTTTCGTTAAGAGAATAAAGACACAATTGAGATATGCGCGTAGCTTTTTTGACATTACCGTTTTACGATTGATTATTAAGTACCTATACATTTATTTTGTATTCATAATTTGAAATTTTGATATTTAAAAAGTGTAAAATGCTATCTGAAAATATCGAAAACAATTTTTGCATATAAGGAATTATTTTAAATACCGTATTTTATTTAGCGCATAAAATAATTTTGTACTTGAAATATTTTTTTCCTGATGTTTTAAATAATTCAGTATCACATTTACCATTTTCTTATAGGGGGTGATATGCAACAAAAACAACCCTCCCTGGCTTCCTCCCTTGTGTAAATAAAAATCATTGCAGTTAGTTAATCAATACTTATACAAACATGTAATAAAAACGATTTTTTATTTAAAACGGTTCGAATAAAAATGTAAATAAATGAAAATATTAATTTAAAAATAAAAAATTGAATTTTTACTCAAATTTCAAATTAAAATTTTTTTTTAATATTTATTTGAACTTGTATTTAAAAAAATACTTATTTAAATATTACTCAGGTCTTATAGAAATCTGATCTATGAGTAAAAGTACTAATAATTTTAGTGAACAAACGGCCTTAAAGTATATTATGAATGTTTATAGTATACTAAAAAAATTAGCTGTTATTGTAGGGATCAAGAAATGTATTAAATAAAAGACTGTCCAAACCGAATTATCCAAACATCGATAGCAACTTATTGTTAAAAGAAAATTAATATAAAATCACAAGTCTCTCTCGCGGTTCTTACAAATCTACATGTACCTAAAGCATTCATGTAGATTTGTCTACGACAGCATGGGAATCGTAGTAAACACAGCTTGGTAAGCCTAATATAGTTTTGGACAGTCTCAAATAATAGTACCTAGGTAATAAATAATATTATAATTGTCGTAAGTCAGCATTATGGTAAAGTTTCTACAGCTTCAGTGCGAGCCCCGCTGTTTTAATAATAATTAATATTATCATTATTACAGTATAAGTGTTATGGTATTATTATTATTAGTATTATTGTGGTAATGCATATGGTTTACCTATGAAGCGAAACGGCTCCGTTTTGAATTTTCGTGTCTTGCCTTTGTTCTTTGCCATAGCTGTTGGGCAAGTAATCTATTTCTACCGAGCTCGTGGGAGACAACTAGATGAAAAATAATCCACACAGGACGACACCGTTATTAATATTGTGTTCATATAATAAAATAACATACAAGATTCTGTGTTAATGTAATTGATGGATTGTGTTGGCATAATAATAATTATTGCATGTTAGTAAAATGAAGATTACATGTATACTTTCGATTATATTTTACTAATAATTTTAATACCTTGACAACGTTTCGTCCGGACACTTGTAAGTAGTTCTTCTGAAAAAGCAACAATTTATAAGTAATTGCAATTTTTGAAACGTTATCGTTAGTAATAAAATCTATAAATTATATTGTTAATTGATAAAAATTTGGTTATACTCTATTGGCAAGCAGCACTAAATTATTATTATAGCTCTACTTGAAACCAAAACTCCGTTAGTCGATAAGTTTCTATAGTTGCTTTTATGCTACGAAAAACCTAAACTACTAAATATAAATTTTATTTTATTACATTTTATAGGATTTTGATTATTGTGTTAGGCCCTAATTCCACAGCAATAACTCAGTAATAAGTAAAAAAGATAAAGTTATTTTTGTTGTTTTAATGTAAATTTTTTACTCATTTTAACATTTTGTTTAAGTGCATGTTTTAAACATTTTTAGTTAATTTTTAGTACCAAATTTAAAGGAATCTCTATACCTTTTTTTTAATGTTTCAAGTACGGATCTAGTGGTATGTGTGCCCTGTTATTTAAATAAATAATTATATCTTTGCGGCGCCTTAAAAAATCACACCGTTAGGATGGGTCGCACCGGGAAAGAAAAAAGGTCTAATATTATAGTTGTATTGTTCATATAAGGGCCAAGAGAGATAGAGATAAACATATAGCCTACATTTATGTATATGGTGGGCGGATAAACGGACAACAGATTGATAATTGGGCGGAGAAACGGTTTTTTATCTTAACTTGCATACGGTGTAATTATACTGTATTTTATATTTTTTGTTTAATTGTCTGTGTTGTATTATGAAAGGTGTATATTACTGTTATTGTTGTTATATGAAACGACGAAGAGTTAAAAGCGTTTTGATTTATTTTTTCTAAACCCCGTTTCGTCGATTTTTTTCCTTACGATAACGAACACTTAAAATATTCCCATAAACCACAAGGCAGACCTCGTTTAAAGATTACAAACTCATAGTCAAAAATACCTCTTGGCTAGAGCAATACTAAGTACATCAACGCTACTTCTATAATATATTTTGTGTAAGCAATGTACATAAATTTAAAATAATATCATATATTAACCATATTGCTAAGTGACATAGAGAAAATCGCGAAATAATAAATAGATGACACTATTTACTGCAGTGATAGACTCGCATAGTGATATTTGAATAATAGACATTTTCTAAAATGGAAATTTCTAGTTTGATATTTTACTTCTAACGTGTCTAAAAAAAAATTAAGGCAAACCAATATCCAGTATCAGAATTACTATGAAAACATTGTTTTTTCTTATATTTAGATAAACAATTGTAGAAATTCTAGAAAATATTGAATTTTCAAAAATAATATTAGGCTGTCAATTATTTGGTAAGGATTGTTTCTAATATCATGTACTACGTCAAGCGATTATTATTTACAAGTATGCAATCATTGTTTAACCATTAAATGTTTAGTATAAAGCATTAGGAGCTAGGATTATTTTTATAATAACACGCCTTTTAGTTACTAATCAATAAAATATGCGAAAAATCTATTTTAACGTTGATTTGAGCTAAAAAGCTGATTAATTTGTTATATTGTAGTCCCATAGCTATATGTACTATGGTAATATGAACAAAAATAACTGCAATGGCTATGTGTAGCTGGCGGACTACAAGTCGTAAAGATCCGATATGGCTGACAGTTAAATGATTTCTAAAAATACATAAGTATATTGCAAAAAAAAACTAATCGGTTCACGCTAGTATTAGCAAATAAATGGCGTTAGAGTGTTATCAACACGTTAGTAGGCTGAGTACGTATGTATCAGTATATGATAGCGTGCTATAGCTTACGTGCTTGTTTTTTTTCGAATGGGCATTGCTTACTCTAAACGACCGTCTTAGACTGCCCGTCGTACGTCTCATCGACGACCACACGCTGCCGAACAACGAGTGATCTCTCTTCAAATTTTAAACGATATTAATCATTATTAATCGTTGTCCTCGTCAACAGACCGGCGTCATTTATAAATGTTTTAAGTTCGAATGAATACAATATTATAATAACACAAAACAAAAACGATACGTACCCTGTGTGACGGTTCGGGATTGTCGTCGATAAGCTCGTCAAGATTTCCAGAAATCGCTCTCTTGATCTCTGGCCCGGCGTCGTGTAAAGTTCTCAGTCCGGCCTGTACAGAATTGCCGGATCAGGTTATGTTACTTATCGATTACCGCGATTGGATTACCTGAAGTGTAACGGTATTGCGCGCCTCTTTATCGCCCTCTTTCAGCTCTTGTTCTTTGCGCTTTTTGAACCGTCGGAAGTAGTCTTGGATCAAAAACGTGGCGTAGAACTTGCCCACGGTCACCTCGTCGTCAACTGTAACGTGCAAGACTCCCGTGAGGTTTATGCAATAGACTATAACGATTAGCACTCACCCCCAGGCGGTGGCACCACCTGATCCAGAAGTTTCGGGCTAGTCCGCTTCCAGATCTTCTTGATGACAGCTCTGAGCTCCGCGTTGGCGTCGTCGATGTTGCCTTCCGATTTGATGTGCAACGACGTCCGGACGACTGCAAACAACGTGGCGTTGAATAACACCGTGCCGTCACTGTTTAACGGCATGTTCATGGAAACTAATCGCTGAAAACCAAAACAAAAATTATGTAGTAAGTATCCGATAATGACTGATTTCATCCAGACTCCCGTCATAAGAAATAATGCATCCAGATTCTAGGTAAAGGCAGCGAATGTTTGAAATGGTAATCCAAAAGGTCACAACTTACCAGCTACCATCTGAGAATGTCTGTGTATAGAAACATTGATAAAGACTACACGAGTTCGACGGGGTACGACCAAGGCGGAATCGTTTGGAGATCAGTAATTCGGTGTGTTTTAAAGTATTCAACGTTTAGTAAGATCACAAAAGTCGAATATGGATTTGCGTTTATGGAGAGGCTCAATACACAGTAAGGTAATTATCAACGGATGTATGCTTACCTTACACGCGACCCGATGTGGACACAGTTTTCCAAAACCCAATGGAGGAGATATCTTCCTCAGGAGCGTCACCACGTCCAGGTGTTTGATCCTGCCTTTGGCGTCTGGATCGTATTCGCTCCATAGTCTGATAAATTCGTCCAAGTGATGCGGTCCCAGAATGGACCAATCCCGAGTCAGGTAATCGAAATTATCCATGATGACGGCCACGAACAGGTTGATGATGAGGAACGAGCACAGCACGTAGAAAGATATGAAGTACGGAAAAGCAAAATCAGAACCGCAACTGGTAGCCAATTGCTTGTCTTTGAACACGTCCGAATTTTCGTCACAAACCACCTCGTCTGGTCGGAACGAACAAGACATCATGATGTCCTGCCACGCTTCCCCTGTATACGTCACAATCGATAAAGTTGGAATAGTATATAAAATAACAAGGCACGTGACATTCAAGTCAATCACAATGATCAGAAATGACTCTTTGCCGAGCTACCATGTTACATTCATACATTGTATTCATTGTGTAATAAGTGGTTAGTTTGTAAATTATATAAATAACATCATACCGGTAGCTGAACGAAACAGTATAAGCACGGCTTGGGGAAACGTTTGAAAGTGATTGTTCCGGTGAATGGCCGAACCTACAGTACTCTTTGATATTTTGCCGAATACCTTGCAAACGAAATCGCATTTTTATTGAATGTGTTCCTTAGTAGATAAGATAAAACAAAAGCATTGGCTTCAACTCACCTGCATGCCGATAACGGCGTATATGAAGAACAACATAACTATCAGAAGGGCGACGTACGGCAGAGCTTGAAAGGATTTGATGAACGTCCATAGCAAGGTCCGGATTCCGTCGCCGCGACTGAGCAATTTCACCAAACGCATAACGCGAAACAACCGGAAGAAATTTATCGACAGTTTTCGTTCTTTCTTCTTCGGAATGTTAGTGATGTTGGGCTAATGAACATTTCGAGAAAACATACTTTGAATTCACGTCTACACAACGAAGGATTGCAATTATTTTGAAACAAAGGTGAACTGGCAAGAATGTTAAATAGACATATTTGCCTGGACCGGTACAATATGATAAAACTATTTGTTAGGTTTGATTTAATAAAATTAGTACTCGGATTTTAAGTTTTATTTGTCTCTTGACAGTGTTTTTTTTTATCTGACTTTTATCATGACAGAAAAGAGGGAGCCCTAAATTGCTTTAGGACCCAATCTTTAGTAATTATGGGCCTGATTGTACGTTGCAATATTTAAAGGTAAAGCTAATACACATATAGATTTTTTAAACCGATCAACCTAGTTCACATGTGTTGTAAATTAACGAGCAATGGTGAATACTCACGGATAAATTTTCGACTACTATGTCGATGAAACTCCCCAAAACGATAACAAAGTCAAACACGTTCCAAGCGTCTCCAAAGTAGTTCTGAAACAAACGGTAAATATTGTTGACTAAATATTTTTCAGAAGTCATGAGAATTATTATAACTACTTTAAATCGGAAAGCCGCCAGTTTAAAGACGAACTCCAAAGCGAAAACTGCGGTAAAAAATAAGTTCAACATGTCCAGTATACTGTCGTAGTACTGCGGTTGCTTGTAGAACTTCATGGCTAGTGTTATGGTATTGACCATGATTAGCATAAATATTGTGTACTCGAATGGTTGTGACGTGACAAACCACCACACTTTGTACTGACATCGGTGTTTGGGTATGTAACGTCGCACAGGTTTAGCTTTGAGCGCAAAAGCTATACAGTTTCGCTGAAAAAAAATTATATGACAGTAAGTAAGACTCACCAAGGAATACACAAATATCAACGATATTCTACAAAATTCCCATTGCCCGTATGTCATTTCTAAAGATTCCTATACAAAAATGATCAATTTCTCGTGAATACCACATAGAGATCCAAAACTCCTTAAACGGGCACATGTATTTCCGTTTTCTTATTCTCGCATAACATGCGGAAATGTAATGCAACTCCCTTTTTTGTAGAGACAGGGATTCGCAAACATAAGCGGGAATTCAAGTTTATGTGACGAAGTTACTTATACGATGTACTCATAAGGGAAAATCCCGTAGAACTGCCAGTGCTACAAGAGTTGTTCATTAAAATTGACGTTGGAATTTCATAAAAGTATGAAATTCCAACGTCAATTTTATTTACCTGGTTTTTGTCGAGCTCGCAGTTTTTGTATTCTTGTTCGCCTTCGTTTTGGAACGTGACTATGACGAAACCGACGAATATGTTCACCATGAAGAACGCGATAATGATGATGTATATTATGTAGTAGGCAGCCACGATTGGCCTGTAGTTGTGTATGGGACCCATGTCTTCTTGGTTGGAGTCAATGGACTTTTGTAAAAGTCTAGAAAGGCAAACGAAAAATAACAAATTTAGCCGTTTCGAAGTTTATTAGTACATTAGTTTTGTGGTTTTAAGTCATACCCGGGCCATCCTTCGAATGTAGAGACAGTAAACAGGGTAAGCATGGCTTTGGCTACGTCGTCGAAGTGAAAAGAATATTGCTCCCATTTTCGAGTTTCTGCTTTAGGATGTTCCACATCACCGTGTTCGAACGTTAAGTATACTCCTCTACACGTGCAAAATTTAACATTTATTATAACGACAATAATTGGTCGATAGCATGAATGACGGTTAAGTGCTCGGAGCGGAATGCCAAAATAATTGAGAAATCGTTATAGATATAATGTTACTTATAACGAAAAAAGAAAAATTAACACAATAATAAAATAAGAAAGAACAAAGTGCTCTTGACCGAAAAAATTGTTTTTAAAGGTTACAAAAAGTATGATAGACATTGTTCTACAATTATAATAGCAACAATGATTTAGAGACAAGCGAAAAAGTTGAAATAAACGTGTTGGTAAGATAATAGATAATCGAAGAGAATTAACTATCTACGATCAAGTTATTATTTATTTGAAAGAAGTATAAGAAAAAGTTAAGATAATACTTGATTATTTGATGCTGACTAAATATGTGTCGATTTTATTATAGAACTGAAGAAAAAATGTCGTGGTTAAGAGTCTTAAAAATGTTGTATAATGTAATAAATTATTGCTCTGAATCATGCATCTAAAAATGCAATGAAAATAATAATTAAATTCCTGATAAATGACTAATTGTATTGTATATAATTGATTTAAATTGTATAAACATTTTTAAGCAGAATTTTCCCATTTAGGGAAACAGTGTACATTTTTGTCGTTTTATTTAATCATCTCAAGTGTTTTGAATATAATTCAATTGTACTTAGCCGAATTTTATTATTTAACACGTTAAAAGTAAAAAAATATGTAAATATTAGATTATAAAGAACGAGTGGCCAAGTGAGTAATGCTACTATGGTCTACCCTACTACTGGTCAATAGAGCCATACGCCATACAATAATAATAATAAAATGAGCACTGGAATCCGATTCGTTGTGAATAATAAGTATAGAACTTTTTTCAGTAATCAGTTTAGGCAATCGAAGAATCCTATGTACGAGTAGCTGACGTTGTCATTCGTCAGTATAGGTAAAAAACACAAACTCAGCAAACCCAGAAAGATCTTTTTGTTTAAGCTAAGAAAATCTCATAAATTGGTATATATGCAAAAATATGGAGTTAATAGTATATATGTATAGCTAAAAAAACATAAATAGTATTATGTTATTCATCTAAAAAATGATTTGTAGATTAATATTTATTATCATACATGAATAAAGTATTACATTTTAGCACTCCACTGGACCAATTACAAAAATTATAACAATTACTATACTAACTGGCATTCAAATTCTGTTGTTTTGGAAAGATCATTGCATGAAAAAAATTTCCCCTAAAAAATCATCAGTATACTTATTAATAGTTTATGATATTTATATACACTTTGTTACAGTGATTATATCAATATGTCCGTCAGTACAGACATATATAAAGGATATAAAGGTATATTTATATATAAGATATAAAGGAACAGTTAGTTCGATGACAGGAAAAATAAAATCAGTCATGGGGTTACAGAATAGGGTTATTATTATATACAAATTAATTAGCCAAGTCTAACGACGTGCAAGTATTCAATGATATCCGATCAAACAGCAAAAGCAGTTTTCGGTAAGCGATACAAACATAAAAAGCGCATGCAATGTTTTTTATGAATAAATTAGTACCGACGCCTCAGTTCAAAACAGCTGTAAAAGTTAACATTTTAAAAACAAAAAATGTTCATCACAATTATTCCATTTACACGTCTTGTATTTTAGGGTTTCATAATATGTTCTGCTACCAAGCAACGAACATCGCTAATCAAATTCTTGTTTTTCTATCGCCATTAGTGGGGTAGGCAAGTCAGTAGTCACAAACACCAATACCGTACTCTTAAAATAACAATTAGGCCGGGAATAGTCCCTAAAGATCTTCAGCCGCCAAATGGACAGTAAGAATATTGCCCGACAAATACATGCTCCCGAAAGCTTATGTTCTACACGATATTAAAATTACAAATAATTAAATAACGGCATATTACATACTTTAACCGCGTGCTTCTTTAAATGGTAATATGAGACATGAGATGCTAAACTGTGGTATAGGTACGAGTTATTTGACCGCGAGGTACCATATATTTTGTATTATATTAAAATATAGTGTTTAGTTAACCTATAGTTAAGTCAGTTGTAATAGAAAGTACATCAAATGTATTGACAGTGTAAAAAAAAAGACACCCCTAGAAATCATACTTAATTTACGTTCAGAATGATTTTAATATTCATATTTATATTAGGGTAAAAAAACCCTTGCCCGCTTTTTCAGATAAAAAAAAACCCCTTGTGAAGTCGCTTGAATCAACTTTAAGTAAAACTTGATAATTTCAGTTTAAGTATTTTTAAAAAATAATTATAAGCTTAAAAATTTTTTTTTTAATGAGCATGGTCTTAAAATAAGGTTGAAAATAACGATTTTAGATTAATTAAAATCTTGTTTATTTCGCTTTAGCATAAGCCATTTAATATAATATGTTTTGTAGGGACGCCGAAAGACCTTATTACAGCCTATTAAATCGGTTTTGAGGGTTGTAAAAACTTAAGAATCTTCTCTCATCAACGAGAAAAACGCAGAGAATATTTATATAAATTTAACATTAAATAAATACCAAAAAACAAAAAAATTATTAACAACAAAATGTTCAAGCCACTACTCTGATTTTTCTACAAGTAAAAATTATTTTCCTAACTATATACTCCGCTTTCAAACACATGTATTTTTTAAATTATTTTTTGAATTTGCATAAATGTTATAAGTTTTAAAACGATGTGAAGGAAATATTTAAAAAAATTATTTCAAGTTCAATTTACTTAACAAAATAATTATTGTAAAATCTAAGAGAAATTTAAAGCTTACAACCTTTCTTTAAATTGATTTCTATCGTTTAGGTTATATTGATCTAAAATTTAATTATGAATACATTGTATGTTTAATTAGTTTACCAATCTTGTCTATAATGAACTATTTATCTGTTTCAAAAATAATTAGAATTATCAAGTACTTTTCAGAATTTTAAGACTTAAAATCCGGAAAACGTTTAAAAAAATAAAGAAATAAAGCCCTATTACTTTAAGAAAACTATAAACAGTCATTTGGCTTTTAAATTTCATTCAGTAGAAACTTATCTGAACAACTTTTAGCACTTTATTGCTTGCAAAAATCCTACGCGAGCCTTAGTTAAAACTTGAGAAAACACATTCCCAGCTTTATAGTCTGTTTTTTTAAAAATCTGAATTGTTTCCTTCAAACACACAAAATATAATGTAAATAAATACTAATTTTTGATAGACATAATCCTCCATCCTGAATGTGTCACACTCTTGGACGTATTGTCATAGCTGTAGGTAGTGCTATTACAACGCTCGTTTCCGACATAACTGTCTTATTATATGTAAATAGCTATAGCACAATAAAACCATTATAAACGACGCCTTAGGGGCAATGACAGCGTGGGCGTAATCGATCCGACCAAACAAAATAATTAGACAGGCCCTGCCTGTACCACAGTTGGAAGATTTATTTTCTATGTTATTTTTTTGAATAAAAAAAAAAAACTATAATATATGTATTGTTGAACGATTATACGATTAACTGTTAAATTTATTGTTTATATTTTATCGTTTAACAGACTTTTTTACAGGAAAAAAACAAAGTGCTGTCAAGCTAGTTTAAAAAAGAGACAACACCAACTTTATAAACAAAAACCGAATTTGTATAATGTATATGTATCATAATATAATAAACACTATTATCAGAATGACTGTTCCCTATCTAAATATCAAAAAACCCATAATTATTTTTGTAAAAAAAAAAGTCATACAAAAATGTGATAAAAAAAATATTAGCTATGTATACGAATACGTTTTAAACTAAACTACATAACATAGTGTAATATAAATAATATGACAAACTACGGTATAAAATAAATCTACTGAACCCTTATGTGGGCAATATAGGTTAAGAAAAATAATATTGTGTAAAAAAAATAAAATCGTATGGCTCGTGTTTATTTTCAAATGTAATAAATATAAAATGTGATCAAATATAATAATAAAATTATACTGTAAATGTGTCTACGTGTTTTTTTTTTCACAAGCAAGCAGAAGATTTACCTTAAAAAGCTGAACTCCTATGACGGCAAACATGAACTGAAGTAAATACGTGACCAGCATGATATTTCCGATTGTCTTAATTGCGACTATCACGCATTTCACTACATACTACAAAACAAAATATATGAAAACTATCAAATAAAATATCTAGGACGAGACGTTAATTCCAAGCTGTAAGTTTCATCTGTTCTGAAATAATGTCCACCTGAAATTATCGGTTTAGCTGATAATAAACTCCATTATATAATTACTATATTAAACACAAAATCTTGAAAAAGACCAAGGCAAAACCTAAGACCTAACCTAACCTAATAATAAGTTTATTTGAAAACCCCCAATATGATTAGCCCTTTAAAAGATTCTGAGTGCGAAAAACAAATTGCACTATACATAAGACTTTAACAATTCGGCTAAATTACACAGCTGACTTCTAATTTGTTTAAAAACAACACTGAAGATTAACTTCGTTAACGAACAACGAACAATTAACATAAACTGAATAACAAATAATTTGTTATTCAAATGTATAATCAAATAATGCCCATTAATAAAGGTATACTCTGTATACAGAGTATACCTTTATTGACCTTTATTGCACAGAAAGAGTTGAAAAGTTCCTTTGTGGAATTGTTGTTAATTTTTAACGCTTTGACCTCTAAGAAAGGTAAATGACTCCAAGTCTTAAAATTCCATGGCATGCCATCGAATGTTGATTAGCTTTTTCTTATCAACCGGATAAATTATTTTGCAAAATGGCTACGTATCGATGACCATGTAATGCGTTTTGCATTTGAAGTCTTGTGATTATTTTAGTTGTTTGAGTTTTGGTCGACCACAAAAGTACCCAAACACACTTTGACAATGCAACGCGAGAGTCAAGTTAGGTCAAGTCGTTCGAGTGGTTTTTGGGTGAAACGTATACACCATCTATAGTGACCCTTTCCTTTTGCTGAAATTATCGCAGTGTCACTCGAGTTCTCATTATAATTTTCTACAATATGTGTCGGATAAGTTTACGGGTTTGTTTCCAGGGGGAGTTTCCCAGAAACCAGCATTAGACTCTCTTGAGGGCCAAGACGCATGTAACAAATGCTACTACTTTACTCGTCACCTACAAATTAGGTAAAATACCAAAATATTATGCGAGGTCATTTTTCGACGTACTTTCATGCTATTATCATACAAATATACAGTATAAATCAACAAACTCGAGTTACTTAGAATCAAAACAGCTGGGTACACATTTCACAGCTCACATGCGATATAGTGTAATCTCAAATCTAGGTAGACCCTTCTGAGAACATTATAAAATTAAAAATATACTGTTTACCCGAACAGTCTTTGGACGCATAATAATAAGTCACGGTTACATATTGTGTATTTTACATAAATCTACATAATATTGCAACAATTATGCATTAGGTATTTTTAATATCGTGTAGACGGCACGTCAGACAAATCCAGGTATTCGAGAACTACTATTTTTGTTGAAAGACTAAGAATTCATTTCAATAATTTAGAAAAAAAAGGATTTTTTCATGTTACCCCTTAAATTAAAACGATTTACTTAGTTGTTATACTAGATAATTATTTTTATAAAACTATAACAATGAAAAAGTATACTAATGAGTTCCTAAAAATAAAAATAATTGAAATTCAATTATTATTAATTATTCGAGAGATGATATTAAAACAAATTGATTGGTATAATTTGTTTTTTAATAGACCTTTTCTATTGGAATAATCTATTATATCTAAACCTGATGACTACTAAACTATCTATGCCTAACACTGTTTGTAACCAGTTACTGATCAGCTTTTCTCTATACATAGTAACAGTACAGGAATTTTTTTTATTCTTTTTTTGTTTTTTTTATAATAACTTAAAATATATATTTTATATATACTTTAACAACTCGATACTTTGACCACGGCATAAAAAAATTGACTTATCTCAGTGTACTCGTTAGGCTCTGGATTGGTCCCTGAGCCGTTGTTAACCAGTTAAAGCGTAAAATCTCTTTAACCGTGAATGACAAATAATTATGATTAGGTATTATTATTGAAACGTTAAACATGTAATACTGCAAAACTATTAGGTACATTTATATTAGATAGGTATTATTAAATGAAATACATGTTTGTGTTAGATCGCTCAAAATTCGGTTGTAGTGTTGCACCGTTAAACGCAGTTGATACTCAAGTGTTATCACAATAGTTATTCTATTGTTGGTATTAATGCAGTTTAATTCTCTTAAGCGTTTTTCAAATAAATGTTGTCAATTTTTAACTTCCAAAGTTATGGACAAACAGCTTATAATTTTGAAATTCCAATAAGTTTTAGTAATATTCGAAAAGTAATGATAAAAAAAAAAAAAAAATACACGCTACGCAAATCTAGACAAAAATTAAGTATATAAAAAAAAAATGCTTAATCATTCGATTTTGCCAGATATTGCATTAAAAAAAAATAAGAGGTGTTATAACTCTAAACGAAGTATTTTATTCACTTTCCGTCTTCACCAATCTTTGTCGTTTTAATATAATACTTATAAAAAACATGTTTAACAAGTTAAATATTTTAATTTAAAAAACTATGTAAATGCAAATTTTTCGATTTCACCTAACATCATTTATCAAAAAAAAAAACACTTAAAGAAACTAAACCGCATTTGTTCCGTATTCTTAATAGAATCAAAATATTGTTGATCCGGAAATTTATATGCATTAGACTTAAGAGCAACACACAAAAATTATATAAAAAAAAAAAGAAGTTGAAATTATTCGAGGAACAAAACAAAGGGAATTTTTGTATTTTGCATATTATTTTAAAGGAGATACCGTTTGTAATTTGTCAGTGCTGTACCTTGAATAACTGAACTCCAATTACGGCGAACATGAATTGAAGAAGGCACGTGACCAACACTATGTTTCCAATGGTTTTAACCGCGACGATGACACACTGCACTACGTGCTAAACATTTGATTAAAGTTGTTAAATGAAAAATCCAAAAAAAAAAGATTTGTGTAGCTGCGGCGAATATTTTAACTGACGAGAAGAAAACAAATCATAATATTTGGTTACATATGAAAAATAATATAATATAGGCAACAACACATGTCAACTGTCTGTTGAGTTGCGTTTCTCGGATCGGTCGGGAGAACCGAAAAAAATGATTTTATTAGCGATATAAGTAAGGGTCAGAAAAAACTATTTATTATGAGGGACAAAATACAGGACAAATATAAGACCCTTTGATCGTTGACCGCTCAAAAGAAACTACATCGGTAGGTTAGATTATAACAATATATGTCTTGGGAAAAGTTTTATAAAAACTATAAAACGGTAAAAAAAAATATAAACTTTTGACTGAAAACAAAAAGAAAAATATTCGTCTTTTAGCCTCTACTAAGGCGGCGCTGACCAGAAAAAGCACAAACTTAATAATTTTTTTTTTCCTAAACCTCACCTCCTAATTAACTTTATTTTAAATACTTGAAAAGAGTTTTTTTTCCGCTTAAACCACTAAACTAACGATACGAAAAGTATAGCTACCTTCCCAAGTTATCTAATAAATATTCAAGTTTTAAATAGAAGTTATGACCAGAATACAAAAAAAAAAACCCCCGCTCTGTTATGATATAGCATTGGGTTAAAAAAAAGCCAAATTTGTTGAAAAGTTATATAGTTGAAATGTTAAACTTCACAAAAAAAAAAAAAATTGTAATCCGTTGAGTTGACATTTTAGTAGGTAATTTATTAAGTTGGTGGTTGTTTTACGAAATATTTCCTCTTTCCGTTTTATTTTACTATAATATGGTTCTAGTTGAAATTTTTTTTAAGAATTATGGTAATTTTATTATTATCATTTTAAAAAATGACCGCTTCGGAAACTGAAAAAACATAGTATACTATTGAATGTATTATTATATTATATGTAAGTATATGATTTCTCAGGCGGCCAGTTGCTACATTTTAATTACTCAAACGTCCTGTTTATTAAAATAGCCTGTGACATTTTAATACCTACCGTATTTTGAGGTCACCTAAAAGTAGTGTTCGAACCGAGTGTAACATGCTGTTAAATATTTATAGAACTTTTAACCGTTAATCAGCGCCCATCTAAGTCCGTGATTAGCCCGTTAAATTTTACTCAACTCTGCAAAGACCATATACATTATACATCTATCATGATACATTAAACCACAGGCCTATAGGTTATATTGAATAATGGACTGCACTTGGAAAAAAATTAATCTGCTCAATGTATCGGCCAACTGGGAATTACAGTCGTAAATGAGATTTACGGGATAATAGTATATCCGAAAATAACATGTCATATATTTTATACTTGTCGAGTATTTGAAAATGTAATTGGAAAAATCTTACCATTAACGCCTCATACACAATCGCAAGATTGTCAGTTGATATATTTATTTAGATGATTGATAGATAGGTCTCATTAAAAGACATTTTTCAAACAAAATTAGAAACATTCTCTAAATGGAACTGTTTTACTATACAATTAAAGGGACGAGTGTGTAAACGTGTTAACTGACAATTTCAAAACTTTTCAGGAGGCAACATTTTAGCCAATATATATTAAAAATTAAAATGCTTGGAACTTTTTTGATTTTTAAGCTTAACACATAATCAACTGTTATAATATTTTGCTAAATTGTGTAATACATCCTAAAACTTTAATTCGTTCAAACTACTGTTATAAATATTCAAACTAAAAACTATTTTACAAAAAAATGAAAGTTAATACCTTTATCCACTCACCCCTTCAATTTTTTTATTAGTATTTGGTAATATCTCATGTTCTCTTTCTCTATGTTGGATAATTTAACTTTAACGTTCACCAAAAACTTGAAATTCATTTAAAAATGTTGAAACCAGTTCTAAATTTAGCAGTTCTAATCGTCCGTTTGAAACCAATTAGAATGTTTTCAAAATCTTAGTAGGAAAAACTAGGCGTGCTGCTGGCTAAATTTGTTTCACCGAGAAAAATCCTATACAAATAATGTATTTGGTTCTTGTTCCAAAAAAAATAGTTTTAACTTTGCTGTATAGTTTAATTTTGAATGACCGTGTAGAGGCGTTCGGCGTGGTTTGAGTTCTGACTAACCTAAATTCTAATTGAAATCCATTATTGATAGGTCTATGATTTGGAATATTTTTGGAACATTTGTTTGGGTAATGAAACCTCAACAATGGGACATTAAACAAATGTATAGTGATATAGAGTTGAACATTTTTAAGACCAATAACAATATAAGTGCCGATAAGTGTAATGAAATAGGTAGATGTACCATGTTTACTATTATCATGGTAGCAGTCTTAAGTATAAAAAATATGTCTATTATATATTAATAAGAAACTAAAATTATATGATTAGCCGCAATCGACGGTACCTGTGGGTTCACGTTATCAAATGTTATAAATATATTATTTGTGTATTACAAATACATTTTGATATTTAAATAGCTTAAACCATTATATTTTGTTTAGTACTTACTTTAAGCCCTTTGGCTCGATTGATTGCGCGCAGAGGTCTTAACACTCTCAACACTCTCAACACTTTAACAAGTGACATTGGGCCGGCACTGCAAACGGATGATTAAATTCGATAACCGTCCAAAAAATACAAAAAAGAAAAACGTTTGTGGTACAATGCTGACCTTGCCATTTTGGAGAATACCGACACCAGCGAGACGGCGACTACCAGTAGGTCCAAGAGGTTAAAGAACGACCGGCAAAACGCGCCGTTATGCAAGACAAAACCGTAGGAGATCATTTTGAAAAATATTTCTACTGTGAACACTGCCGTGAAGAAGTAGTCGAACCCTTTGAGTACCTAAATGGGGTAAAATATAACAGAAAAATAAAATAGATTTCATCAATTAAGTTCTCCTCTACGCCGTATCCTGTCGCCTTTACTTATAACATTCGTTCACGTCTTTCTTGGTCTACCTCTAACCTTTAAATACCTCAAACAATATCTTTACCCGTTTTACTATTTAATTTTCTTCACCTTTTCCCATTTTCTTCTTAACCATTTTCATTTTGTTTTCATTATACCCATTCCTAATCAAGTCTAACCTAATAAATAATAATAAAAGTTTTATTAATTGAGTAATTACCGAAGTACGCTAAAGGGAATGTTTGTGGTTAAGGGTTTTTAAAAAAAATATTTTTTAGTTTTTTTTGTATTTTTACACTTAAGTAAATGTTTTCCCCAATCGTTCACCATTACCATGTCATATTATTAAGCCTTTTCACATGTTTTTTTTTACTTCCTTCTAATGTCTGTTTACCGCTAATTTTTGCTTGTTCTCTGCTCTCGGACTATTTTTTCTTTCCGTTGTTGGGTGGTTTAGTGAACTATAAAATCATGCAAATTATGTCGACTCACGTTGTTTCTATCCGAGTCGGCGTTCAACGGGTCTTCTGCCGCCAACAACGCCGACGAGACCATAATGCACACTAATATGAAATTGCTGAAGTAAGTATGATTGCAAAACCAATGGCAGTACACTCGGAAACTTAGGAACACAAAAATGCATTAATAGAAACATGTTATTTTATTTAATCAGTACTATACTAAACGATGCGTAGACAGTTATGTCCTCAAGTTATGTCGAGACTTACCTGCTGGTTTTTGAAAATACAAAAAATGACGATTCCGGTTGGATGGGTACTCCTTTGTTGGCGTTGTTGAACTCAGAATTTCGTCGCATTTTGGAGTCTTCGTTATCTTCGTCTTCTGTGCAACAACGTAAAACATGATTTTATATTTAAAAAAAAAATTGCATCCAGATCGTTAAAAATCGTAGCTGTGCTGCTAAGGACGATTTTACCAAAAAAAAAAAAAAAAAATAAAACCCAACAAGTTCAAAACTTTGGTGATGCATTATTTTTTTAATAAAAAACCGTTTATTGCTTAATGTTGGCGTTTAAAAATATTAATTTCAAGTAAAAAAATATACAAACACACATTTTGAATTGTATTCGATTTACATAACATTATTTGCTTATGCTTCAGAAATGTATAAAGACATATTATATGACGATGAGCACTCTGCTGGTGGCTGTGTTATATCAATTCGATAGAAAATTAATAACAAAAAAAAAATTATTAGTTAAATAAAAAATTAAAAATAAATTCGCTTAATGTTGCTGTGTATTCATTGCTAACAAGGTATACCCATATTAGTATTTACTAGTTTATACCCGCCTGATAATTAAACAAGCACTTGCAAAACCAAAAAAGGTATACTTTATGTTCAACCCTTTGAGGTCTTAAACAAACAGCTGGATCAATTAAATTTAATTACCTTGGTTGTCGTCCGGCTCGTAATCTGAACCGTCTTCTTCCAAGTCGATTTTTATGTTACTACCGCTTTCGTCGTCCTTTTTCGACGATCTACTAAAATATTACACACAATTGTCACGCATTAAAGATTATCAGAAATAATAATTATAACACCCATACGATTCTTCCGACAGCTCCTCTTCGGCGGACAAGCCCTCAGAACTTTCTCTAGGATACCCGTCGTCTCTTTCAACAGACTGACTATTACTTCTCGACTTTGGCTGGTTTTCGGGTTGCTAAGATTGATGATACAACGAATTACATATAAATAAATACTTTCCGGTTGGGCACTAATACTCGAGACTTACCTCTTCTTCTTTGTCGATGGCCGTCAACGACTCGGCATCGGCCAGATTGTCCACGGCAATGGCCAAGAAAACGTTTAATAGAATATCTAACTCTCGATCAGGAATATTTTTGCTTCTGAATCATTCTTAAAATGTATTTTGGTTTTGAAACGATTTGATTTGATAAAAACATAATTAATGATCTGGGACAATCATCCCGACACTGAACAATAATAAGTCTCAGATGTGTTATTGCAGTGGTCAATACACAGTTTATCACAGTTCCTGCTTTCAAGCCTGTTAATCATAGGCTGTGACCTCCCACCCCTAAGTGTTTATACTGGTCACTCAAGCCGTACTTCTATTCTATAAATAACGAGTTTAAAAAAGGATACAATTACCGCATATGAACAAAATGATGAAGTATATGCAAGCCAAGATGCCAGGTGAGGACACGCCGTTGTAAGCTTTTATACCGTTGTACATAACTACGTTCCAGTCCTCGCCAGTAAGTATCTAAACGTGATTTAAACATAAGCAAGACTAGATGGCATGGCCACAAAAAGTAATGTGTGTCGTGCTTACCTGGAACACGGTAAGTAAACTCTGCCAAAACGTGTCGAAGTTGCTGCGGGGCTTGTAAGCGGTCGGGTCGAAATTGAATTTTCCCCCGAACACTTGCATGCCTAACAAGGCGAATATGACAATGAACAGGAAGAGCAACAGCAGCAGAGATGCGATTGATTGTATTGAATTGAGCAAAGAAGCCACCAAATTCGACAGTGACCTCCAGTATCTGTAACGCGGTAACGAGTTTCGGTGTAAGGAAGGCTTAAACATTTTGAAAAAAATAATAACTTCCACGTCTTAACGTTTGACTTACTTAGTAACCTTGAAAACCCTGAGCAGTCGAACGCAACGCAACACGGACACGCCGAGCGGCAACATCAGTTGCGTTCTAGTTAGAATGGTTTCGGTTATGCTGCCAATGACGACAAAGCAGTCGAAACGGTTGAATAACGAAACAAAATATCCCTGTCGAGAATTTTAATCATAATATGAATAGGTTTAATTTGACACACAATCGGTAATAAGACTGTGTACTTAATGCGCCTTACCTGTATTCCGAGACTGTACATTTTCAGCAGCATTTCCATCGTGAAGAGCGTTATGAAAAACAAGTTGGTTACCTCTGGAAGAAATTAAAATTCTTGGGTTAATTAAACACGAATGCAGTGTGTAAAATGGGACCCTTTAGGATTAGACACTCAAAGTCACATCATTTTTAAATCTAGATCAGGTGACCTGTAAGTATGTGCTAACCTTGAAATTCGTCTAGCCAATCCGGTTGGCGGTAGTGCTCGGTGGCCAAAACACCAGTATTCAAAAACACTAGAATTATAATCAACCAATAGAAAGCTTGGGACTTGACAGCTTTGCGACATGCTCTTCTCGCTCTGCGATTGATTCTTTAACATGATAAATGTTTAATGCATACAGTATTAGTTGGTATAACTCATAATGCCTATACTAAACGTGTTAATTACTTGTCGAAATTTTTCCGTTTCTTTTTCCACCACGATTTGCTATGATCGTTTTCATCGCGTTCCATGCGGTTGGTCGATTTGCTTTCATTAGCATTATTGTCTGGAATAAAAGTAAAATTTTATTTAACTTAGCCGGTTACTGTATTATAGAATGAAAACTTTACTTTGTCTATTTAGCGACTCTTCTTTATCATCGGCATCGAGTTCAATGTCTTCCGCTTGGGTAATCCAATCCAAGTATCCACGCAAGTCTTCTTCGAGTTGTTGTTTTTCGCGGAGTTTCTGGAAGTCACCTCTGGCCTTGGCTTTTTCTCTTTCTTTGGAAAACTCTCTGAAACGCGCGTTTGTACGATTATGATGATAGCCTACATACGTTCAGTTACACGACTTACCCGCTCAACACTCCGAGGATGAGGTTCATGACGAAAAACGCTCCGAGAATAACCATGGAAATAAAATATATCCACTGCCAACTGCTTCCCAGCGCATCTTCTATCTGCGAACCGTACGATTGAACCGATAATTTAGCACAGTACAAATCGAATAATACACTTACACTGTATAAAACGTCGGTCCACCCTTCGAGGGTGATGCACTGGAAAACTGTCAACATGGACAAGCCAAAGTTGTCGAAGTTTGTTATTCCCGAGTTGGGTCCTTCCCAGTCACCTTTACAGTAGAAGTTGGCGCCGTAATAGCTGCAGTCGAAGCCACTGATTTCGCCATAAAGACCCTCGTCGCAGGGATGCGGGTCTTCCATCACTGTAAATTTGATCATTATTTTCTTAACATTTAGCAAGCTAAGTTTTAGTATCGTTTTCATAATATAATTGGTCGTACTCGTGTCGTTTTCGTAGCAAGTCGTGTGCAAAGTCCCCGAAAACAGTTCCAAGCCGATAATCGCATAAATGATTATGACGAATATGACCAACAAGGCGATGTGCAATAAGGGTACCATGGCTCGAAGAATGGAATTCAAAACGACTTGTAGACCTGTGAACCGTAATCGTTGAGCCCATAATTAGTGCCCCTTCGTAACATTGTAAATGAAAGAGTGGTATACCCTTCCGCTTTTGCCGTTGCGTCTCTCACAAGAAAAATCAACCGCAATTATCTTTCCACTCTACGACTTTTGAAATATCTCCATTAATTACGACTACTCACTTTGCTGTTGCTCTACCACGCCTATTATTTTCCTCTGCTCTCTAATCATTCTTATACTATAACCATGCTATTATTTTCCATGCGTCAACTTAAGAGCCCAAGTATTTAATGCAAATACATTTCCATCAAATAGAATCGCAACAAAATATATATCCACAGAACTACTCTAGTGAAAGATCGTCAGTCAGTTAGTCAGTCAGTAAAAAGGAATACAAAAAGAGATTATTAGTGTTTAGAAACTTTTAAACACTTTTAAGATTTATAAAAAATAATACTCTCTTCAAAAACTAAATTGTCTTTACACTATTTACATAAATTGAGGTTACTCCCACTTGGATGTCTTGATTAGTTTTAATTTTCTTTATCAATTTTTATAACAAAATATTATGTTTTTAGATATGCTGAAATATTTTTCGAAAACTAAGCATATTCCTTATCTTGCAATACACCGTTCAACGAAAAATATTAATTAAACGGTCCGATTTCAAGTTGTTTGTGTGTGTGTGTTCTTTTTAAAAGCACAGACACATCGTTGAATACATTTTTAATTAATAACGACTCACTTGGCACTCCGGATACCAGTCTCAAAGGTCTCAACACGCGAAACGCTCGCAGTGCTTTCACGTCGAACCCGTTGATGATACTTATGCCTCTGTAACAACATATTATAGTCAGTGTGTGTTATTGGTTTACGAACGCGCAACGTTTGCAATTAAGATTTTCGGGAAGGCTTACCCCATCAGGACGATAGTGAAATCCAGGAAATTCCATCCGTTCCTCAGATAAGCGCCCGGATGGGCTACGAACCCGTACGCTATTATCTTCATGATACATTCCACGGTAAATATCACTAGAAACACACGTTCGATTCGGTCCTGTGAACAAAGAAAATCGATACACGATATTAATTGGACGGTGTACACATCTCCACCAGCATACGTTTGTATACTCACTAAATATCCGTTCACTGTGTTCGAATCGTTACAAGGATACGGCGTGTAAACTGCTAAGGCCACGCAATTAGCGAAAATGGTCAGTAAAATTAAATATTCAAATGGCCTGGATGCAAACGTCAAGGAATAATATTTCATTGTAATCGGATAAAATATTTTCAACAAGAATACACACGGTAGATAGTCTTTTTGAGTTTTAAAAACTATGACAACTTGCCTCTGCAGATGAATTTTTTGTTAACCATCGCACAATGTATTGTGTAAAATATGACAAGTAAATTATAACAGCATATAGGTAAGAATAGGTCAAAGACTAATAAAGCTGTTATAAAATTATTATTTTGTATTATCATACTTTTTAATTCGTTTGAGATTAATTATCAAAACAGATTGAACTCGTGAGGACATTATACTAGGAATATTTTTTTAGGCGACTGTTATGAATAAACACTATTAAAATTTAAAAACATATGTACATCCGAATCAATTAATCAAGCTTTTTTTAGTATTTTGCCACAAACGTTCGACAATATCTAGAAAAATCTTAAGCAACGGTAAAGAAGATATAGTACAATAAAAAAATAATATATTTAAAAACCCATAACCACAGTTGTGCCGTAATGATTAAAATAATTTATTAAGCCATTTGAGATACATGGAAAAAAGGATTAAAGATTTCAATATTGATGGTTTTTTTTCAAGATATAAATTCGAATTATCCTTCCATTACATTAACGTATAAAAATAAAAACCAATGAGAAGTTGACTTTCCTTTATTAACTAGTAAAAAGAACGGACAATAATTAAGATTTTGAAATTTTCCATAAGAAAACGCACTAGTTAATCTCAAAATGGGACTGAATTTCATTACAAAACATTTTAGTAAAATTTTGATAAACACATGTTGACGATGAGTCATCACTTACGGTACAATGCTGTAGTTTAGTTTCTAAATGAGCTTGTTTACCCGTAATCAGTCTTATCTGTTGTGATGCTGATGATGATAGCATTTGTAAAATATATTATTTTTTGTGGTTAAAGGTTTTTTTTAAATATTTTATTGTTTTAATAAAAAAATGTTCAGTCGAAAAAAAGGATACTTCCATTCTATCACATCTATGCACAGTTTCCTGAGTGGGTTTTTTAGTGACAAACAACATAGTGCCCTTTGGGGTCGGTCCGGCAGTTGTTTTCCTAGTCTTCTGATTGGTCGTTTCACCACTTGCTTGGTCTGATTATTGTTGGCCGCCGCATTATTGTTGTTGGCGATAACGCCGACGCTGGCATTAGCAACGGCATTGGCGTTGGCGTTGCCGTTGCTATTGAGACCATTGGCCGGGTTGTTGGTGTTGTTATTGTCGATAGTATTGTTGTTGTCGTGAACTGGCTTCGGACCGACATTGTTGTCGTTCGGAACACTCATAATTCTTCATCAAACATTTATTTTGATAGATAAGTGCTCTGGGCGATATGCGGGAGCTGGTCACCTCACAAAAGACATTTCTTACAGTTTCAGCTAAAACATATAATAATCAAACGGTAAATGAAAACCGATCGTAGGTTGTTTTTGCATTAAACTTGATACGGAATTTATCAAAATATATTTGTAAAAATTCGTGTAGAAATAATTTAATTTAATAAAAAATATTTAAAAAAAATATGGGCGTTAAAGAGTACTACAACTATAGTTGATCGTTATTCGATTTCTTCGGACTATTAAAATTCAACACACTTGCTGAAACAAAAAGGACCCGCTTGAATATTCCATTATAAGCAAAACAAATAGACTCGAAGGGCGTTTATACTGTAAACACTTGAAAAGTGAATTCCAATCGATTATATTTAAAGCGGCGCCTATTAAAAGAAAACGAAAAACAAGCACCTAAAGGTCATCAATGCAGATTCCTATGGAATAAATAATGCTAAAACTCAAAACAGAGCGTTACAGAAAAAAAGAAATACCAAAAACAAGTTGGACATGGCTCTGGATCAGTTGGTCGTTAGTTAAACCTACAAAAAGCGTTGTGTAAGATTACTTAACCGTGTAATTGGCATTAAGAGCGACCAACAGTAATATTAATTATGTCTGTCTACAACAGAACATAAAATATCAGCGAGACTTACTGATTAAGGGATGTAAAGCACTACAAAGAATTAATCCATTTTCATATTTCATACCACTATTTTTTTATTATTTAATTTACCTTATGAAATTTAAACTTATTTAAAAAACCATCTGAGTAAAAGGTCAAAATTAGGTTATTAAAATAAAATTTATTTTAGGAGTTCTGGTAATTAAAAAGAAATTAATAGCTTAAAGTCAAATGAGCATTAAATCTAAGTTTAAATAATTAAATTGAGCTTATAAAATGTACAATGCATTATATAATCTATTGTTATATTTAGTTTAAATTGTAGTTTTCCTTGGTACCTAGATTCTGTATGATATTTAGGTTACTGTTTAATGAATACTTATGAAAAAAATCAAATAAAAAAGGGTATTTTTATTTAAAAGTATATTAAGATAATATATAAAACAATTTGTTACATATTGTGTAAAAACATATTTTGAAAAAAAAATGTATTTAAAAAAATAATACAATCTTGGCTTTATGAAATTTGGTGTATCATACAATTTTTTTTAGCATAAATATATATATTATTTTGTAATCTTGTTTTATAAGTAATTTTAAGTTATGGGGTACATACACTGTTTTAAACATAGTTATTATTTTGACTTGTTGGTATTATTGTTCTACCAGAGGCCAGTGTCTATAAATAATTAAAAACTTTAAAAGCGGCTGAACATTTTAACAATGTTACTGTACAAGTTAAATTAAATAAAAATCAAAACAACATTTCTGTAACAACTGTGAATAATTGTGTAAGTAGAATTTTGTTAGTGTGCGTATCAAACACCAAAATGTTAAAAAGGCTAAAAGTATTAATTGCACTAAAAAAATGTTACTGGACGGAGCGGTAACCTGTGTTTAGCAATCAACACATGTACTGCAAAAAAAAAGATGTTCCTATTTAAACAGTATTTTTTAAATATAATTAACAGAAAAACGGGTTTAGGAACAGTTTCAATTTTTTCGTTTTTTTCAATTAACTGTTGAAAAATTCTACAAACATAATATTATAAGCGAACAGTTTTTTATTACATTAGAAAAGCAAGATTAAAAAAAAAACATGTATATAATACTATATACAATCCAAATAGAGATTCAGTAATTTTATTGCTTCCAGACTGTCGGACTCTGGTTATTTTTGGCAAGAGGCAATCCAGACGTTTGAAAACTTTTTCCAAAAACTGGATTTAAAATCGTTTTAGTTTTCTGGCACAGAGTATAGACATTGAGAAAACACTGAAGTAACTTTTGATAATTTTATTACAAATGTTTTGGATAAGAGCTTAAATACTATTTTGAAAAACTAGGAACTAGAAGAAAGGGTCCTCTAACCCCCTACGAAATGTCTTTTAATAAGGTTAATTTTGAATACATATTTTTAATCGAGTTTCATTTAACATAATAATAATATAGCAACACTGTTTCCAAATCAAAAGTTTTTCTAGTTTGGAGTTTATATTTTTGTTAAAACGAGGCTTAGGACTGCTTTCTTTTAAATAAAGAATGGATCATTTGAAAAGGATTTATTTCTTTTGAAGATAAATACAAATTCAAGTTTTTTTTCAAACAAGTTTTTGTTAGATTATTTTTGTATTTCTAAAATAAAAAATACATTTTAACCCTTTTATATACTTTTTTTTTTAATTCGTTCAGTTGTCAACAATTTTAAATAGAAATTACCATACTGATAATGACATAAGTTTTGGTTGTGCATTTTTAATAGTTCAGCTGTCATAATTATAATTTTTAAATAAAGAAATGTGACTTCCGTTGACTTTTAGGCAACAGATGACAGCACATTACCGTTATGAAGTAGATATGTATAATATTCATATTTGGGCGTTCTATATATAGTTAAGTGTAGATTAGAAGCTAAATTAAGCTGATGTTGATTTATTACACAGGCCAGTAACATTTTTATTGTCATATTAAATGTCTTAGAAATTAGTCTTATAAATTATTATATGATATAATTGGTGAGCTAATTTTAAAAACCACATCAGTTTGTTAAGATCTGATCTAATTTTAGACGTATAGCTCACTATATATAATATGTATACCTACCCTATACATCGGTTAATACATAACACACTAATTTTTCATTTAAATATGAGAAACTGGAGTTTTAAGTGTAATTAATGCTTGCAAAGTCCCTTTACAAGTTTTACTGGCAACAATTTAATCGTTTTTTCTAACATGTTTATAGTAATTCATTAATGAATTATATCAGACAAATATCTCCAAAAGCCAAACAAAACAGATTAGTGTTAAAAAAACAATTCAATAAATAAAAATTAATAAAAAAGAGTAAATTCTTAAGGAACGTTGACCTGTGTAATTAGCTAATATGTAATATGTAGGTATTAGAAACTGCAATTCATCAGTTAAAACTAAATGTATGAAAACAAATCCTAGTTGTTATTTTTAGATATAATATATTTGTTCTAGTTTTGGTAAACATACAAGAGACTGGACGAGTTTCCTATAAAAAGAGATATTTTACGAAGTGATTTATTTTGAGTCATAATATTTATTTCAATACCCTAAGAGCTGTAGTACATAATATTTTTGTAATGAATGTGGGTCACATACGAAAATTGCGTTTATGAAGAATGAGCTAAATCACAGTCGCGAGACACGTTTATGCTGTATACTTAACTAGTACCTAGGACATATATAATAACACACATTTGTCGCTGCTAACTTGTTGTTAGAATGCACAGGGATCACAAGAAATCAAGGGAAAACAATATTAATTTTGAACTCTAGACTGGCAATCATCTAGAACTTTCCGGAAGTTTTGTCAGGACTTACTGTTTGCGTTACTTGACAAAAAATGAACACACGCACACACATATAAATACAGGGTGTTTTTTTTAGTGAGCCACTCAATATCTCGTAGGGTTAATTAGTAATTGTATATTTCTTTTGTATAGGGTTTCTAAACAATGTGATCACACTTGTAGAAAGTGCGCGCAGGTAAAAAAAAACATTACACTCCATTTTCTTCCTGCCCTAAACTTAAAACTTCAATAACTTCAAAAATAGTTATCCAAAACTGGTTATCGACCAGACAACATTTTTAGTACATTACTCTCAATTTAAAATGTTAATAAAATGTATTCGTTACCATTTTAGTTTCAGAAGTTAGTATCAAAATAATTTGTTTGGGAAAGAGGTAGGAACATAAAAATGTTTGGAAAACTTAGATTACATTACATAAAAAATATTATGAAAGAAAAATTCGATTTTTAATTAAACCTATTGAGATATTGCCTGACTCGCGATAGAAACATCACTCTGTATATGATTATACATATATGTATGAAATATATATATAGTTTGAAGTTCTACCAAACCGAATCAATACACATACGTTATAGGGTATTACTATACCTAAGGCATATTCCGTTTTTCGACAGCGAAACTGTAATTTATGAACAACGTTTCCGTTTTGGCGTTTCTTTACGGCCATCATTAGTTAGACCCGTCAAGACACTTATTTTTATGCATACACAATGGCTCTATACAGAGTTATTAATGACTTAAGATAAAGCAGCGTCACCTTATGTTGACGCCACATATATATTTTATATGATATATATTTATAGGTAATATATATGGATCAACATCAATCTCTAACATTAAATGAGTGGGTTACACTTTTGCAGCGTAAGTTATGTTTGCATTCTAAATTTTCTTTTTTTTTCAAAATCATCCCTCCCATCTTACTTGAAAGCTGTGACGGCAAGTACATATTGCTTAAAACTGGAAATAAAAAAAATACTTTCTACGACGGTGGTAATGCAATTTTTTTTTTAATGAATTGTTTGAAATTATGTTTCTTTGCAAATAATAATTTTGCCTGAACACCCGAACCCAGTTTGTAACAATTTATAAATGTAACGGCCCATAATATTTTGTAAAAAAAATAAGTTTTCATTGGAGTGGCTTTTGAAATTTTAATGATCGTTTTTGTATTTCAATAATTAAGTTTTAAAACGGCATTTGCTGTGAAATAATTGGAAAATAATTGCAATTTTCTTGTTTTTCTTATAGAAAACATTTTTGTTTAATGTGCTATTTTAAAATATTATAGAACTACTAAATATTTACGTTTATTTATATTTTCCAGGACTCTATCAACTTTTGAAACAAATGATAACATATACATATTTAATTAACTTATTCAATTAAGATCGATTTGTTGAACATTTTAACTGATCGATAACCAATTTTTTATAATTACTTTTAAAATTATTAAAGTTTAAAATTTAGGTTGGAATGTAAGGTAGAATGTAGTATTATTTTAATCTGCGCACACTTTTCTGTTCAAAGCGTAAGGGAGATCTGTACTATAATATAATTATTATAATCCGACCCC